TACCATTCTGAACCAATTATATAATTCGATCCCCATAACACTGTTAGGGAAGAAAGAAAGTGTCTTCCTAGCGACTACATGAGCCATCGGTTACTCTGCCTGCCAATAAACTGAACATCAAAAGAAAGAAAACCACGTCGTAAAAGCTCTATATCGACAAGGATAGCGCCCCCTGGCATCATGCATACCCGACTTCTTAATCTTGTTCATCGTTACTTGGGCATCTCCTTTTGGAACACTACCGCAACTAGTCCCTTCATGGAGCGCCATTGGATCTCCTCCTAAAAAGACATCAACTCAACCAAAAACAGATCAAACAAGCTTGGGAGTGAAAAGATTGAACATGAACGACGCCACCTGCCCTATCTCGAACCACAATTCCGGCTATCAAATGAGACCCTTCAGCCACTGCCGAATTGTGTTCTTTGTTAAGAACCATAGCATCAATAACTCGAGTTGTTGGGTTATGTTCAATAATATATCTTATTCCAGTTACTAACACACCCCCTTATAAAAAATTCAACTTATATGGAATTGAAGTTTGCACAATTGGAATATCAGGTGTTTAATAAATGATGTCGCCAAGATTAGAAACAAAAGACCTTTCGATCAATTATTATCAATTAGATGCACGCTAATTTTAAGTATTAATTAAATATTGTACCTAATTTAATCATATTTTTCTCGAGGTAAGGTGCGTCCTTGGACCCACCCTATTATCCTCTCCCTCCGCCCCTGTTCTTAAGTATTTCACATTGATACCAGCCATGTATTAATTGAATTGATATCCTAGCAAAACTTGTAATGGGTGATCTACATAAATATTATAAAAATAAAAAATATTACCGCAAATATAGTTGTAAAAAAAGTATTTACAATAGTATTGTGATGGGGAGGGGAAAATGTGCGGTCATGAGCATACTAAGCCAAAGTAGGATAGTTTAACTCAACTCGAAAGGCATTGTGCGACCCGAGCAAAACATAAATAAATTTAGCTTAGTTCGCGCGACTAAGCCAAAAGTAAAGTAATTTAGCCTAACTCGAGCGGCGACGCGCGAGCTGATCGGAATAATTTCTTGGTATGTGTGACACCAAATAGATCTCCGGTGACGGCTTCCTTTTCGTCACAGGAATCGTGGTCGGAAGAGGGAGCCGAGGTCATGCGCGAGAGATTGTGACCTTCGACGTCGCCGTCGCCTTTCATTGTCACAGAGGGAGAAGAGGGTTAGAGGGGAGTAGGTTGGCAGGTGGATCCTGGTATTTTGCTCAGCTCGCACTATATTTCGCTCAGCTAGCGCGATGACTCACGAGCTTAGCAAAATTCATTTATATTTCGTTAAGATTGCGCGACGCCTCGCGAGTTAAGCTAAACTACACTACTTTCGTTCAGTATGCGCATGGCCGCACAATTTTCCCTCTTCATAACAATATCCTTGTAAATACATTTTTTACAACTCTATATGTGCTAATATTTTTCTTTTTCTACTAAATCACCCACTACTAATCCAAACATTAGATACATAGTATGAATTTAGTTTTTTTTGTTGGCTACGAGATTGATGATCTCATCCTCACATTATAATTAGCACATCCCTCGAGACTTATAGTCTGAATTTTTACATAGCAGATTTGATGATAATCGATGGGAATCAAATATGCAAATACTCGATTGTGGGAGGATACCAGTATTGGGTTCTAAAAAAGTGTCCACACAGCAAAATTGTCTTACACCACATATTTTAATTGTGGTTTAGTTAAAAGTCATAAACGATTTAGTATAAGGTTAGTTAGGAAATTCAGACACCACCTATTTCTCAGGGAGAAGTAGATAATTAGGATACGCCATAGGAGTTGGCATGGAATGATTTGAAATCCAGGCTCTGGTTTGGTTAGGATCTCTGACCGACAGGAAATCCGACAGAGTGGCTCCTTTTTGGTTGGAGTGTTGCATTTGCAAAGAGCTGCATTGACATAACTAAACTGCCACGCTGGAACTCAATCCCAAAATATACACCACAAGCATTTCGCCACATAGCTGATATCTTCGTCCTTTCTCAACAAAGAAAAAATAGTCAACTTCTCCATGCTTCTATCTTCGATTGGTTCTGCCCAAATGAACAGCTAACACTCACACTTCAACTCCAGGCCTTTTGATCCATTTCATGTTTGGGGAAAACCAAATTCAAAGTCATTGAAATTCAGGTACTGAATTCCATCAACCTTCCATCTAACAAAGGCGCCATTTAGGTCAAACAGTAAGGTCAAAAGGAGTGTTGCTTTTGGAGCCTTCTTGCTTCATATTTTCACCCCTATCATTCTTTATGCGTGGCTTAACTGCTAAACCCAGGTTCAAAAAAAAAAAAAAAAAAACTCATGGATCCTAGAAAACAATCTAGAATGAGTTGACACTTGTTTGTCAAATCAGTCTAGTTATCACAATTAGTTGTCACAATTAGGTTCCGTTGGCTTCTTCAACTCAAAACAATCTAGATGAAGTTGACAGTTGTTTGTCAAATCAGTCTAGTTATCACAAGTTGTGAACTCTTTTGGTTCCCTTAGCTTCTTCGTTATTTGGGTTTTTATTTTTCAAAAGTTTACAGCAATAATTAGTCAGCTCTTTGCATCTCGCTGCTAACTCTGTCCTTCACGAGCCAACAAGCATATCGAGATAGATTGTTATTTTGTTTGTTAGCATGTTCTCTGCAGAAAAGTAGCTCCTAGCAAGGTCGCCATTCATAAGCAACTTGTCGATTTGTTAACGAAAGATCTCGATGCTAACCAGTTCTCTATTCTTCGTTCCAAGCTGTTGCTCCATGATATTCACGCTGGAGCTTCAGGGGGGTGTAAGAAAATTGCATGACTTCTTTGTATGTTTAGTTTTTTTGGTGGACAATTTTGTAATTTGTCGCATTGTATCTTGCACGGAGCTGTGGAGGTAGGCTTGTCAATTATACTACCCATACCCATGGGTCTGAAATCCAATTAAAGCGTAAATGGATAAAGTCAGATGGGCCAATACCCATTATGTTGGGTTTACTTGGGTTTTACACATGAACTTGGGTTAAAAAAATCCAAACCCAAATAATTAAAAAAAAATGAAACTAAAAAGAAAAATAAACAATTTCAATTTCCTGTTAAAATGGCCAAAACCACAGCTCCTTGGCCGTTGAATTCCCATAAAAATGACCGGACCGCCATTAAAATATAACATTCCTCTCGCCATTACGAATTTCAATTTCCTCCACCGGCGGCGACATCGTCTTCACCGCGACGTCGAATCCGGGGGCGAACTTGGACGTCGGCGCCGTCGTGGCGACCGGCACTTGTTTCGAGGGCGGGCCGAAGGAGTGCTCGGTTTGTCTCGGCAAGATTCGGGCGTCTTTGAAGGTTTGCGAGAGCTCCGGTTGCGGCGGAGGATTGTTGGCGGGGGATTGCCGGCTTCAGTTCCGACATATCATCTTCTCGTGCGATTCGTTCCCAGATCGATGCCCAGTCCAGATCCTAGATCCCAGATTGATGACCGCCTGGAGGACGACGACGGCGACGATTCTAACTCTTCCTCCGACGGCGTCCGACATCATCATCCTCGCCTGTCAGCACCGTCGAAGCGTTCGGCAGTCGGCACCGGCGTTCGGCAGTCGGCACCGTCGAAGCAGCTGCTGGAAAGACAACCAAAGTTACATTTTAGTACCTAAAGTTTTTAAGAAGATACAAATAGGTCCAGCATCATATGTGGAAAATTATATTTTAGTACATTAAAAATTTCGCTTTACATTTTAACACCTAGTAAAAAAACATATACAGATGGGTCCAAGGAAATGGGTACCCAAGCCCAATCCATACCCAAAAATAAAATCCAAACCCAACTCCACCTACCCAAACATTATCCAAATCCATATAGAATAAATCCATACCCAACCCATATAAATGGATATAATTGGGTTTGGGCAAAAATACCCATGGGTGGGTAAATTGCCATCCCTATGTGGAAGTCGTGTGTATATATTGGGTCAGACTGGTGTATTCCTGGTGTATACAATACTACAGGTACTCTTTGTGTGATATATCTATCTAGATCATGAATCAAACCGAGTTTGGGATATGATACTATACCCTAACCTCTAATGGATAACCACCAGACCTGGATTTTGTCACTACAAGAAAAAAGACTTTTAGCTACCATTTTCTTGGCGACCATACAAAAATGGTTGCTTATAACCAGGTTTTGCCAACCATTTAAAAAATGGTAGCTGATACCTAACTCTAGCGCAACCAATAGTAGAATGGTCGCCATAAATCAAAACTTCAACAACCATTTACAAAATAGTTGGTGATACTATACCCTTAAGCAACCATAATGTAAATGGTTGCGGATAAATAAAACCTTTTACGACCATTTCTGAAATCGTTGTTGATACCCTACCCATAAACAACCATGACGTACATGGTTGCTGATAGCCTATTCTAAAGCAACCATAATCTACATGGTTGCTGATAAATGGAAAATTCGACAACCATTTTTGAAATGGTTGGTGATACCCTACCCTGAAGCAACCATGAGGCACATGGTCGCTAATAAATGAAGAGTTCGGCGATTATTTCTGGAATAGTTGGTGATGCCATATACTTATGCAGCCACGATGTACGTGGTTGCTAATAAACAAAAACTTTGGCAACCATTTGTGAAATGGTTGGTTATACCCTATACTTGAGCAACTAAGAGTCAAAGAGTTTCCCATAAACAAAAACTTCAACAACCATTGATAAAATGGTCGGTGGTACACTCCAACTGTTAGCTAATTTTAAATGGTTGTCAATAGCCAAAACTTCAACGATTTTCAATATGGTTGGTTATATGCAGCTCTTAAGCAACCATTTACAAGATGGTTGGTGTAGTCTCGGCCAAACACCAAACGCCCAACGCTGTCGTTTTATTGCTGAGCAAAGTGTGAAAAAATAAAAATCGATTCCCGTTCAATGTTTTGACCATTTCAGTTTCAGAAACGAATCCCTAATTTTGCATCTTCTTCCCGTTCAGAAATCGATTCCCGTTCAGTTTCATAAACGAATCCCTAATTTTGCATCTTCTTCCCCGGTTCTCTACACGCCGCAGCTTCCAGCTGAGGCGCCAGCGTCTCCCTCCATGCTCCTGACCTCCCCAGGTCTGGCGGTCTCCAAAGCAACACTAGGCCGCGACGATTGTTGGCGAGATAGTGATCACAGAGAAGCTACGGCGATGGACGAGGGGAGACGACGATGGCGCCCGAGATCCAGATCGAGAATCGACGACTGCGGCGGGTGACGGTTGGTGGCGCCATCGAATTTGGGGCTGGCCGTTTGCTGGAATTGGGTTTTCAGCGAAGGCGACAGCCTGAACACTATCCAGATCAATTCCCCTGGCGTTTCCACCAAAGGGTCTTCCGGGTTGGTCACAAGTTTTCGAATTTCGCACTCTTTCTCTTTCAGTTTGCTTATTACTGGTTGAATATCTAGTATGCGATCTAGGGATTTGGTTTGGGGAAAAAGGGAACTTGGAATTTGAATTGAGAACCTCTGAAGCTATTGATCAATCATAGGGTTTTTTGATTTCGTAATAGGAATGAATTTTCTCGTTCGTTTTCTGAAAATTAAGGGGTTGGGCTATGTGATAGTTGAGGCAAGGGGCATGGCATAAGGTTGACCCTTAGCCTAGTGAACAATCTGGATGCGTTTGGTGGGAAAGATTAGTATGTGAGATGGGGGAAAAAAGCTGGGATCAATGTTTCTTTGGCCCAAGATTCCTTCTCAAACTCAGGTCATTAAAGATTACTACAAAGCCTACATCAAGGCGTGAGTTGGCTTTGCTCTTTGGATCACTTAGAGCTGCATTGAAGTAGTGTTTACAATTCGTACTATGTTCTTTTTTTTGTAGGCTATTGAGACGAGCAAAAACTTGGTAAGTGGGGTCACGTACTCTGATGAACCAGCCATATCTGCTTGGGAACTCATGAACAAACCTAGATGTGCTTCAAGCTAATGTGCTACTTTTCTTCAGGTGAATGTTTGCACTTTGGTTCTGGTTCTTTTGTGTCGCATTAGTATAGTATCCCCTAAATAGTCTTTTCTTGTTGGTGCTTCCTTTTGGGAAGGCTAGCTTGGGTCACTGAGATGTCTACTTACCTCATTAGCTTGACCAAAGGCACCTAGTGGCGGTTGATATAGAGGAATTTTACGGCCAGAACACCACCAAGAAGTTGGAGGTGAATCATGGGGAATGGGAAGCATCCCTTGGATTGGACTTCATACAGAACTCAGCAGTAGACAGCATGGATTTCGTGTCTGTTCATTAATGCCCGGATAGCCGGTCTGTAGCTATCCATTACTAACCCACTTCTCTACTACATTGTTACCTTTTTTTTTTGTGTGTGGGGAGAACTACATTCACACCTTTTACTAAGTTAAAAAAACTATTTTTCAAATACCACACAGTGCAGGATACTAGATGCAAACTTCGAAATTAAGGACGAGTACCTCTCCCGGTGGGTGGATTCCCACATAAGCAACGGGGAACATCTGTTGAGGAAACCGGTCCTCTTCACAGAGGTGGGTTCAGCTTGGAGTGTGAATGATCATGGCAAAGAAGGAGTGGGAAACGATAGAGATGTGTGGGAACATTGGTTTGCCAGGTGATGGTGGAAGGAGTGCATCAATTCAGCGACCGGTTCTCGTTCGTCACTCCACAGTACCCTTTCACTGCTGGGTTGATCAAGGAGCAGACTTGTAGGCTGCTTCATTACATTTCAACAGAAGGGGAGAAGGTAAAAAGAAGCAATTGAAGCGCGATGATAATTGCTTTGGTCAATATTAGCTACTTGAGAATGGAGGGTTTGAATCTTCCCCCAGTAAAGAAGGTTTGTGTGGATTTCTTGGATACTGTACTTGTTTAGAGCATGTTCAAGCAAACAACATGCTCATTAACATTATTGTAAGCTCGAATCATGTTTCTCGTAGATGTATGTGTTATTACAGCGACACGTTTTGAGGGAATGTCTCTTATGTTCTATTCACTTGTCCCTGGTATCTTGTAATGTGACTAATCTCTGATTAATCTCAGATTATATTAACTTCTGTTGGAAAGTACTATTTATTACAATATTCAAATTAAATGTATAGAATAAGAAGGGACTAGCTATACATATATAATAATAGTCCCATGAATATGTCTTTTGGCTACCATAATGAAGGGTTGCTTAAATTCCCACCTATTTCTTACTCTTTGGCTACCTTGTCAAATAGTCGCTGAAATATCCCATTTGACAACCATAAGTGAGCCTGTTGCCTGAAATAGTATCTTGCAGCGACCATAAATATGGTGGCTGAAATTCTAGCCTTTCACCAACCATTTTTGGATAGTCGGTGGAAACATATACAGCCAACCGTAGTAAGATAGTCGCTGAATTGGTTTTTCGCCAACCATAGTTTATAGTTGCCGTAAGTAGACCTTTGGCGACTATACCAAAAAATGGTCACCTTGGACTTATGCCAACGCAGTATTGCCGACCATGTCGGCGACTCTCATTTATGGTCGCTGCAAGGTTTCAGCAACCATTTTTTCAGTTTGGGCAACCATAATTGATAGTTGCGAAAAACATATTTTCTTGTAGTGTGTAAACCTGAACCCCAAGTTCAATTTAATGAAAAACAATAATCGACCGCTGAGATTGGTTGGAGCTGATCGATACTATACTCTAGGATATACCGGTCATTACCATATATATATATATATATATATATATATGGTTAGCTAATAAAAAAGATATCAATAATATACATCAATCAGAGAAAGTAATCTCTCTCGGAGACTAGTTCTAATATTTGGAAAATTACATAAATCGAGAGTCTCGTGTTTGTGTTTGACTGGTTCCACTCTCACACAGTGTTTTACAATTAAACCATCATTACATAGATAATATTGTTTGTCCCCCTCTCGATGACACATCTTTAGTTTAATATCCATAGTTTTAATAGATCACCGGATAAGGTTCCATGGAGATCAGAGACGACCAATATTTGTACGTACACCTATACCTCCGCTTGACTGGGAAAAACAGACTCAGATTTTCCTACTTGTTAGATCATCAACCTTATAAATTAATCCAACTATTTGCCATTCTTGTGGCTGCCTTATCACTTCTAGATCTTGTTATGGGAAGTTCATGCAACTGCTCCTTTTTTTTTTAACACGGTGCAGCGTCCTTCGTCACGGTCGACATATCAAAATGAAATCCAGATTTAATTAATTAATTAGGTGCATGCGTACGCGGCATGCAGACCCGTTGAGGTAATTACTTGTCTCAAATTTGGTGTCCTTCTGCATGCTTTACTCTCTCTTAGCTTGTCATGAAGAGCCTGACAATCTCATAATTAATGTTTATTTGATTACTATAACGTATTGTCGTATGGAGAGTTGACTTGCATACATTGAATGCGTACACGTACTTGTAAATCGAAACAGAGAGAAGAAAAAACACAACTACGCTTAATTAGTTGTGTAGACTGATAAAATGGAATAGTGTTGTTAATTAGTTGTTGGAGGGAAACTGGCAGGAAGCCTCCTATAGCGAGCTTTAATTTGCATCCTCCCTAGCAAACTTTGATTCTGTTGCTTGGTCCTTCTGTCTAATTCCATCTTGATCTTCTCGATGCTTACAAGTGATCCCCGCAAGCACTAACAATTTTGTTAGAGCCCATGAGGGCCTTGTACATATATATAACTTGACGGCCATAAGCCCATGCATGTAATAAGACCGACGTAGGCTAGGGCTAGGGTTAAGTCACCCTTGATTTCATCCTCTCCCTTGTGTACCGAGATATATATATGTACGTGTATGGTGAAGCTACACTAAGATAATATGATAAGTAGCCAGAGAGTCTTCAAGCTCTCCTCACCCGTGGACTATTCCTGATCAATCAGGGATACCACGTAAATCGGTTGTTCCGTTCTTATTTTTGTTCAATATGTCTAACAAATTTACCATACTATAGGATTCAATTTTAATATTCCATTCATTAGAAATTACAAATTTGAGTGGAAAAATATTAAATGCATAACTTTCTCAACTAAAATTTCATAATATCGGACCTCAAAAAGAATTTCGAAAATGCATAAATTTGGTGCATTTCGCTGCACAATAAAGCGAACTAGTAAGCAGTTTGCTGATAGGAGAGTGGACTAGGTTGTTGGCTGGACACAGGGGCGGACTAATAAGTGGTTCACGGGTACGGAAAGGGAACTACTATGGTTCGCTACTTATGAGCGAACCACTTTGAGTAAAACCATTTGCCGACATGTTTGTGCATAGTTCGTTTTCAACATAGGCCAACTAATTTTGTTCATTGCCAAGGAGAGTGAACTACACTAGTTCGCTATCAAGTGGAGCGAACCACTTCCAATAATTTTGTTAAGTCGCTTTCTCTAGACATGTCTCAAGACAGGGTGCAAGGATAGTGTTGGAGTGGATCGCTGGGGTGGGAGGTGAACTACTACTCATTAATGAAAAAAATACCAACACTCTTTCAACTCATTCATCGTTTCATTCTGCAAAAAATCAAACCGCAAAAAAAGAAAAAAATAGCACAAAATTATCAACAAGGAAGAAGGATGTTGATTGAGTTTTGTTATTTAAATGTATGTTTTGTTGAGGAATTTTATTATGCTTTAAAGAATTGGTGTTTTAGTTTTTCCCTTTGTGGTACAACTTGAAGTTTTACCTTTAACGTTATGGTACAACTTTAGATTGTACCTATACTTTTTTGTAAAATCTCTTTATGGTACAAACTAAAGTTATACTTTTATATTATGAAACAACTTGACAACTAGAGGTTGTAACATAACATAAAGATCAAATTCTCTTATGATACAATTTCAATTTGTACTTTTAACATTATGGTACAACTTTAAGTTGTACTTTAAAGCATCAATACTCCAAAGTATAGTAGAAGTGCTCATGTTTTGTTTTGTTATGTTGGTTGGAGCATGAGTTACATTATCCTTTGAATGTAAGTTAGATTTTTATTTTAATGCTTGCTTGTTATATTTAGGTTTAGTTGTACTGTTTATTATTTTAAGGTATGCTCTATTGGTTCGTTGAGCTTCTGTTATTTTGACGTATGTTTTGTTTTGTTGGTTGTAACATGGGTTATATTAGTCTTTGAATATATGTTAAATGTGAATAGGGATTTTGGAAGAATATTTGGTTGTTTATTTGTATTTAGGCTTTGAATTGTATATAATTTTTTCTACTATAAATTGCAGAAAAGTGAAGGAATTTCCAAAAGTTTGACCTATTGAATTGGTGGACTATGAAGGTGGTGAGGCAAACACTGTCCAGATTGAGAGAAAATTTGACTTGTAGGATTTCTTCCATATTTTTATAGGAATATTGTTACATAGGTGATCAATGAAGAGTTATGCAAGATGACATACTGGACGTTGATTTACAGCGTATATGCAATGGTGTACGAAAAATCAATCCTGGCCGGCAATGATGGAATTATTATGATGGTGGAGTTCATAGTAAAGAATTTTTATTTAATTGTCGAGGTGTACATCAAGACGGAAGGGGTGGGCAAGTATGGTGGTGGTGGTGGTGGTGGTTATGCCGAACACAGTGAAGTTTTGGACGACTTTATGGTTCAGGTGCCTATAGAGTTTCGGATGTCAGCATACCATAGCCAAGATATGAGGCTTATGTTGGATCAGGGCGAACAGTTGAATCTGATGGACACGAATTGTAAAATTTGATAGTGCGGAAGTAGAGAAGAATAGATTTACGTGGTTTCTCCAATGAACGGGACTAGTCCATGATGGGCAGAGCTAGAGATAGGGTTTCACTATGATATGGCCGAATGGAAATCAAGGTCGTGTGTGTACAATGATCACAATACCATATGCCTACTAATACCCCTTTCAACATGTAAACTAGGGTAATTAGTGGTGAATTACAAAATGGTACTATTAATTAAAAGGAACGTCACATGACGTCCCAACACTCCCCCTCAAGCGGAGGCATGAAGGTCACAAATGCCCAGCTTGAACAAGAGTGAGTGAAACTTATCAGCACGCAAAGCTTTAGTGAACAGGTCCGCCAACTGGGAAGACGAGCTGATCTTCAGAGGCGCAATCTCACTAGTGACAACGCGCTTGCGGACAAAGTGGCAATCCATCTCAACATGCTTGGTGCACTCGTGGAAGACGGGATTGACAGCAATGTGGAGAGCAGTCTGGTTGTCACATGGAGGGGTGTAGCAGCTGGCTGCGAAAAACCCAACTCGGTAAGCAAAAAACACAACCAGATCACTTCACTAACAGCACTAGCCATGTCCCGGTATTCAGCTTCGGCCGAGAACCGTGCAACTACATGTTGCTTCTTTGTACGCCAAGAGACAGGAGCAACACCAAGTTGGACATATTAACCTGTGGTAGAGCGTTGAGTAGTTTGATATCCACCCGAATATGCATTGCAGTAGGCAGTCACGGTTAAGGAACCACTGAAGGGAAAGAAAAGTCCCTGACCTAGAGAGGTTTTGAGACACCGGAGAACCTGATGCGCCACTGTCACGTGCTTGGGACTAGGGGTGTGAACAAACTAACTCAGGATGTTGAGTGCATATCTACTGTCAGGTCGAGTAAGCGTGATATACATTAATCAACCCACCAATCGGCGATATGAGTGAGAAACGACAACTTCATCTGTAGCCGTACTAGGGCGAGTGAGAGTGTGGTTCTGCTCCATCGAGAACTGATTAGGGCAAGCAACATTAACACCAGCATCACTAAGAATGTCTAATGTGTACTTGCGTTGACTGAGAACAACACCAGTAGGAGAACGAGCCACCTCGATGCCCATAAAATTCTTCATAGGACCAAGATCTTTAATGTTCATGAACGAGTCATGTATACAAGACTTAACCCGAGAGATAAACTCATACTCATTACCAGTGAGGACCACATCATTGACATAATTGAGTGATGCAACAAAGGACGAGCCGCGGCAAGAAAGGAGAAGGGAATGATCCGCCCGGGAAGGGACAAAACTGAGCTCGACAAGAGCTAAAGTAAACTTGTTGTACTAGTTCCACGAAGCCTCAAGTAGACCAT